TATTAATATTAAACCAACAGATAAAATGTTAATAATTGGCTACAGTTTAATGTACGTTTCTAAAGAAAGTCAAGATACTCAGTGTACATGTTAAAAAATAAGTTTTAAAATGCTCATCTGGCTGGGCGCGGTGGCGCGTGTCTGGGAGGCTGAGGCTGGAAGATCTCCAGTCCAGGAGTTCTGGGCTGTAGTGCGCTATGCCAATCGGGTGTCCGCACTAAGTTCAGCATCAATATGGTGACCTCCCGGGAGTGGGGTCCACCAGGTTGCCTAAGGAGGGGTGAACCGGCCCAGGTCAGAAACGGAGCAGGTCAGAACTCCCATGCTGATGAACAGTAGTGGGATCGCGCCTGTGAAAAACCACTGCACTCCAGCTTGGGCAATATAGCAAGACCCTGTCTCTGAGAAGAAAAAAAAATGCTCATCTGTTAAAACTAATTTTACTTAGTGAGAAAACTGTGTGGGAAAAAATTTTAGTTGGAAGAAAAGGTATAACTACTACACAGTATATTTCAGTTAAGTACTATTTGAATACCCAAACACCGTTGAATACTCAAACTGTTGGTGCTATTTTGTATGTTTTGAATAATAAGCTTTTAATGATAGTATCACTGTGGGGTGATTAATGAGGAAATAGGTGTGGTGTGTGTGTAAGGTTTGAAGAGGAGCTAAGGTGAGCTGTACCACTAATATTCTGAAATCCACAATGATACTGGGTTTCACACATATATGTGTATATATGTATGTCTATATATATGTACACATACACAAATAATTATATATTGAACATAATGTATGTGAAGAACTCCTGCCCTTAAGAAACCTTCAGTCAAGGATGCGAAAATTTTGATTGACAAGTGAGAAACCGATACTGTTCGTTATATACATGCAACTTGGAAAATGTTTAAACTAAAAGTGGAGTTTTGTGTATTAGCTATAGATTTCTAATTATATGTTGTCTTTATAGGAATGAAACCAAAGATGTGTAAGCTTGTTTCATAATTAATAATGCTGTCGGTGTGTTTTCTACTTCCCCGTTTAAAAGGATTCTTGGCTTTGACACTGTAATTCACTCTGAGTAGATTTTCTAAAGCAGGAAAGAGTATTCTTCCTCAGAAACCCAGAGGAATTTCTAGTTGCTTCTGAATGTTTGGGATATCAGGCAAACATTTAATCTTTTATTCTGTGTCTTGTCTTTTGGCAGAACAGTTTTCTCACTTTTAGGTTTGGATGAGACTTTAGATTTGAGACAAAAGATTGATTCTTGGACTGTAAAATTTATCTAAAAACATTTGTTCTCATATGAATAATATGTACTTTGAGCATTTTCAGAATTTTTTGGACATCTTATACTTTGAACATAATATTGACATAAAGAATATGAGAAGCGAATGTAGTTTATCCAATTAGAAAATAAACAACTATAGTTTTGTAAAGTATGTGTGGTACAGTGGAAAGGACATGGAATTTGAAGTTAGAGAGATTGGGTTTAAGTCCTGGCATTATAACTCACTGGCTGCTGTACCTTGTGGGGGAAGAAAATACTGTGGCAAGCTGCCTATAAAAAAATGAAAGAACTGTCCAGGCACGGTGGCTCATGCCTGTAATTCCAGCACTTTGGGGGTCCAAGGCGGGAGGATCACAAGGTCAGGTGATTGTGACCATCCTGGCCAACACGGTGAAACCCCGTCTCTACTAAAAATACAAAAAAATTAGCTGAGTGTCTTGGCGCACACCTGTAATCCCAGCTACTCAGGGGGCTGAGGCAGGAGAATTGCTTGAACCCAGGAGGCGGAGATTGCAGTGAGCCGAGATCATGCCACTGCACTGCAGCCTGGGTGACAGTGGGAGACTCTGTCTCAAAAAAAAAAGAACTTTGTGAATGTTGTTATTAATTTGAGGCTTTGTAATTCTTTTCATTAAAGAGAATAAATAGACTGGTATGGCAGACACTGGAGTCTGAAGATTTATGTTGGTACTTTTTACCTGCGTTTACTGTACCTCATACTCATAATTCTGCTGTTCTTTTTGGTTTATAATTCTTCTGAATGCTAATAGCTACATGAGTTCAAAACTTTTAAAAATATTTATAAAATGATTTTAGTTCCAGGCTATATTAATTTTATATTTACTATAATCTAGTGAAAATTGAAGTATAGTGAAAGTATTTGGTAAAGTTAAATCATTATTGCTGTGTGTATTTTAAGTTGGATTAAACATGTAGGTTGTATATGAAATTGTAATAATGGAGCAGAACCATATTTAAAAAACTTTATTTGTAGTTTTGTTTGAACATTTTAAAGAAACCTTTGGGTGCAGAAGAATACTTGGGAAAAAGGTTCTATATTAAATAAACCCCAACTTGATTATTTGTATTACCTCTTTTGTAAACGTAATGAAATTATCAGGATTTAGAATATTATATAAAAATTTTTTCCTCAGTTTTGAAGCTTTCTTAATTTTGGATGTTCTTTCTAAATTGCTTTTTGTAAAAAACAATTTATGTGGGTAAATAGTAGGTTTATATATTTATGGGGTACATAAGATACTTTTGATACAGGTATACAATGCATAATAATCACATCAGGGTAATTGGGTTATCTATTCCCTCAGGCATTTATAGTTTCTGTGACAAACAGTCCACTTATACTCTTATTTTAAAATGTACAATAAATTATTGATGTAGTCAACCTGTTGTGTTTTCAAATACTACATCTTATTCACTCTATTTTCCTGCCGATTAACCCTTCCCCCTGATCCCCCCACCGACTTTATTGCTTTTTAAATCAAGGAAGGAAGAGTTGGTTTTTTGTTCAATAGAAAGATAGGCTTACTTTCTTGTCTATTTTAAATGACTCATCCATTTATTTCCCTATTACGGCATTTTCTTTTGTGGCTTAACACATGGGTGACTAGACACAGATTTACCTAGCAAAAGAAATAATGTTCCTATTCTCTTGATAATCAGTGACCTCACACTGTAAAATTACATTCTTTTGCAGTATCCCTTTTACTATTCAGCGACTTTGTGAATTGTTAACAGATCCAAGGAGAAACTATACAGGAACAGACAAATTTCTCAGAGGAGTAGAAAAGGTATTTATTTTATTATTGGAATTACACTGCGGTTTAACAACTTTTATTTTAGAAAAGATCATTGAGTAAGATCTGTTTCAGGTACCTGTTCTTGAAATATGCTTTCCAGGCTACCTTGAGTTTCTCAAATTGTTTTCCAAACTACATTTTATATTTTATGGAGAGATTTAATAGGAGCAGATAGGGGAGGGTTTGCATATTGATCATTGAAGTTTGGGAAAAGCAGATTATTATTTCTTGAAAAATCATAGTGTACATCAACTTATTAAAGGTTCTGAGAAGTTATAATTGCTATTTTAACTTTACGGAGTGTTTTATAAACTTATTTACGCATGGAGTTCATTTTCTCAATTCTGGAGTTCAGAGGTACATAACTTTGGAAACTTACTGATGCAAAGCATGTAAATGAGGTATTGAGTAGAAAGATGCAGGTGAGATTAAGGGATAAACATTAGTGTTTGTGTGTGTGGAGGGAGTTGAGTGAATGTTAGAATTAAGGGAAAGGTATTCTGAATAAAGGAAATGATGTAAAGAACAAAGATTCAAGGTATTTAAGGGAGTGAGAAGTAAGAAATTGACTTGAGTGAAAAATGAAGGAGCCCTGTGGGAACCGAGATTGGACGGGTTCTAGTTTTCAGTTGATGATTGGTCCTCAAACACTCCAGTGTTCATTTTAAGGATCTGGTTCAAATTCACTTTATTTTACCCTGGAAACAGGAATCGGAAACCATTATATAGTGATTTGCAATAGTTCTTGAGGCCTTACTGGGTTAATATGTTTTGTTGATCCTCTGTACACTCAATTGAATAATACCCCCAAAGGCCCGGAAACTAAGATGGTTCATCAGTACTTATTTTTCAGCTCCAGCAGTTTTAATAATTAGATTCCAAAGATCTTTGGGTAAAGAAGCAATATGTTACAGTAGTCATACCAGGTGCCCTGCCTTTAAATCAGGGTTACAGTGCTTCCCAGTTGGTAACCTTGGGCCAGTTAGTTTTCTTCTCAGTAAAATTTGGGAGGCTGAGGCAGGTGGATCATGAGGTCAAGAGATTGAGACCATCCTGGTCAACATGGTGAAACCCTGTCTCTACTAAAAATACAAAAAATTAGCTGGGCACGGTGGCGCGTGCCTGTAATCCCAGCTACTCAGGAGGCTGAGGCAGGAGAATTGCCTGCACCCAGGAGGCGGAGGTCGCGGTGAGCCGAGATCGCGCCATTGCACTCCAGCCTGGGTAACAAGAGCGAAACTCCGTCTCAAAGAAAAAAAAAAAGAAAAAAATAATAATAATAGGGCTGTGAGAGGGATTAAATGCAAAACACTTACTATGGCTTATAATAAATTTTCAGTGAACACTGACTATTTAGTAAAGTTATTTTTACCAGGAAGATTGTGAATATATTACAAAAAAGGTTTGAGTCTCTTTGCGTGGGATGTATGATGCAACACAACAAGCTGTGGATTGGATGTTGCTTTGTAATGAAAATCAGTTAGGTGTGTCCTAAGTACTTCAATCTCTTGACATCTTTGGGTGATTCCATCTAAAATAAGAGAGCTTGGTTTCACTACTACATATAGTATATGATGTCAGGGGTCTAGAATAACTAGATTAGGGTAAAAAATAAGTCTAGGGAAAAAAAAGCAGTGGCTGAGTAGGATACTCTGTTTTGGTCCTTTGTTTTAGTTTTTGTGGTTTTACCAGTTTTCATTTTTAACCATTTATTTTTCTTTATTAGCAAAATTAGAATCAAAGGAATTTAACCCACCACCATGATTTTAGAAACAAGTTAAAAACAAATGATTAAACTTTATGTCGTAGTACTTTTCCTCATACTAAATCACTGATTTTTGTTATTGCAGAATGTGATGGTTGTTAGCTGTGTTTATCCTTCTTCAGAGTAAGTATATTTTTTCTATTTCTAGTATATTATTTAATTACTGTTTTTAATGATTTTATTGCTTCTAATACATTATTCTTAAAATATAGTGGATTTATTTTATATGTAATTAAGTGTGATAACATACTTGTGAACCTACGATTCAGTCCCCAAAGTAGAATATTATTGATAACATTATCTGTATGTTTTTTCCAGTAAAGAGGTGTGAATTAAAGAGATTAGTCATTTACTATAATTTAAATATTGTTGGATTTTGCATCATGGCACTCATTTCCCTGAATGCCATCCTACACGTCTTTCCATGGTATCTCTAGGGCATAATTCCCATGTTTGGAATAACTGCTTGATGGCTTTTCTCTTTATGATGGAAAAGTGTTTGTAGTTGTCAAGATTTATATATAGCAAAGTAAGAATTAAATTTAGGACACAGTTTCTCATCCTTGGAACCACGGACATTTTGTACCAGATAATTCTATTGTGAGTGGGTGTCCTGGGAATTATAAAGGTTTTGCAGTGTCCTAGACCTCTACCCATTTGTATCAGTAGTGTTCCCCTGTTCAAATATCTTTAGACATTGCCAGATGTTCTCTGGGGATGTGAAGTACAGGGAGAGGGGAGGTTGTCCCTGCTGAGAACCATTGGTTTAAGGTTAATCTGGCTCTGCTTTTATAGACTACTCTGTTACACCCAGGATGGAGTGCAGTGATGAGTGATCATAGCTCACTGCAACCTTAAACTCCCAGGGGTTTAAGTGATCCTCCCACCTTGGCCTCCCAAAATGGTGAAATTGCAGATGTGAACCACCACACCCAGCCCAGTGAATTTGTTTTTAGAATGTTCTCAAAAATATACTTATATTGTTAAATAAGAGACTAAAATAATTCCATACCATGTTTCTTGACAGAAAAACTATTAAAATATATAAAATTTCTTTCTTTATGAACCAAAATATGTTTTGTTTTGCTAATTAATGTGAGATATTTTGGAAAAATGGTAAAGAAGTGCAGTCAAGACATAGTGACTAATAACGGATTCTTTTCTTAAATTGTATGCTTAGGCTAATTCTCACAAAGTCTTTTTGTTTGGGTCTGTGACAGATCTTACAGAAGATCTTTTAGACCCATGTTTCTTACCAAAATTAAAGAATTAAGTCGGAATCAATCTCCCACAATGTCTCATTTAAGAAAGGATTTGCAGACCAGCAGCCCTCCAGATGATGCAGTGGTCACTAATGGCCTCCTGGACCTTCCAGGAAGATTTGAGCTGTCCGGGAAAAGCAGACAGTATTCACTGGATGTATTGGAACCCACACCCAGCATTGGGGATGTTAAGGACATTAAAAAAGCAGCCAGGTCTGTCCTAGACCTGGCAAATAAATCTCATTTCCACCCTGTGACCCCAAGTTTAGTATTCTTGTGTTTTCTATTTGATGGATTACACAAGGCATTACTAAGTATTGGTGTGAACAAGAGGTCTAATAGTGGTTGGGAACGAGAACAAGGAAATGGGTACTCCTTATGCTAGCAGTTTTAAAGATATGCCTAATTTTATTGCCCTTGAGAAGTCATCAGTTCTCTGCCACTGCTGTGGCCTTTTGATAGACATTGTCGCCAGATCAAGTGTAAGATTGGAACCAGCAGTCTCCAAGTTCAGAGACGATTCAAAGCAATTGTGGTATCTATTGGAAAACTTTCACATGGTGAGAGTACTGATCTGCTGATCAGCTACAATGCAGGATCAGCCATAGGTTACATTAGCTCAAGACCATGGGTTGGAGAATTAATGTTCACATTTCTATTTGGAAATTTGAATTCCCTGAATTTAAGCTACTTGATCAAGTCAAGCTAGTTGCCAAGAAAGCACAGAGGACAACCTGTTATGCTGTAACAATGTTTCTAGATCAGTGCATGAGTGGCTCCACTGCTCTACCTGCCATTGTGTCTAAGATCCCAGTCTTTGAGGAGAGAAAAAAAAAACAACGGTTAAAAAGGCATTGGGAAGTATTTTGAGTTTGGAAGTGTACTTTGCCTCACCATGAATGTTCCCAAACTTAGCAACAGCAGCAAACCACTGGGCCAAGAGGAGCAACCCCACATTTTCAGGATTTAAAGCTCCTGGTGTTATACCAGGATCAGTCATCACACTCCCTTTGCTTCAAATAACATCCACGTATAAGATCTCGAAGGGGAGCATTGGTGGAATCATGGATCCATCCACTCAAAAAAAAAAAAAAAAAAAAAAAAGGCACTGGGTACGGTGGCTCATGCCTGTAATCCCAGCACTTTGGTAGGCCAAGATGAGCAGATCACTTGAGATCATGAGTACAAAACCAGCCTGGCCAACATGGCAAAACCCCGTCTCTACTAACAATACAAAAAATAGGTGGGCATGGTGGTGCACATCTGTAATCCAGCTACTTGGGAGGCTGAAGCACAAGAATCACTTGAACTAGGGAGGTGGAGGTTGCAGTAAATCGAGATTGCACCACTGTACTCCAACTTGGGTGACAGAGCCAGATTCCATTTCAAAAATTAAAAAAAATTGTCATCCATAAGTATATTTTCTTTTCTTATAGGAAAAACAATTCCAATAGTTTAAATCGAATGAATGGTGTTATGTTTCCTGGAAATTCACCAAGCTATACTGAGAGGTGAGATTATTGATTTTTAATACCTATGGAGTTTGCGTTGTCCTGATTTCGAGTAGCATGCTTAGTGTACTTTTTAAAAATTGGGCATTTTATGGACACTATAAGATAAACTACATAGAATTAGTTAATTTGATAAGCCATGGACCTGAAAACACAAGTTGCAGCAAATATTTCTGTGATATATTCACATAAACATACGATAGGAGGGATGACTTTTTATAAAAATAGGAAATGATGTCTGTTTATCTTATTATAGGTCTAATATAAATGGGCCTGGGACACCCAGGCCACTTAATCGACCGAAGGTTTCTTTGTCAGCCCCCATGACAACAAATGGGTTGCCTGAGAGCACAGAGAGCAAGGAGGCAAATTTGCAGCAAAATGAAGAGAAAAATCCCAGGTTTGCATATGTTTTATATTTAAAAACAATATTTTTATTAGTAGTTAACAATCAGTACTTATCACTTACTATTTATAAGTTCTGAGTGACAAAACAAGGTTTTCATGTGGTTTATAGGAGCAATGGCTTCTCTTTGCAGCTGCAGCAAATGTTGAAGGTACACATAGACAAGACTTTTTAACTGCTAGTTTGGGGAGACTGTTTATGTAGGGTCTAAAAGTAAAGTAGTTTTGATACATTTCATTTGTTATTTCTGAAAGTGACTTGAAAAGAGAAAAGATCTTTATAAATAAGTTGGTTTTGTGAATAATTTCTCATTGTAGTTCATAAAAGGATACCTTTTATTTATATCTTCAAATTTTCTATATCACACTAAAGGAAGGAAGACTAAATGAGGGAGAGAACTTAGTATTTCTGTATGGAAGACTTGTGGTTTTATTATAGGAGAATATTTAATTTACTGGAGAATTGCACAGAAAACTCACAAAGCTTTTCTAAGTCCTACTGGGAATTATTCATCAAACAGTTTAGGTTGCCTTTAAATTATTCTCTTTTGTTTTTCTTTGCTCAGGTGTTATAATTTGACTTTGACACTAAAATACAGTTTAAAACACTATTTAACCTTAAAAATGGGGATGTAGAAGATGGGAAAAATAATTTTATTAATGATACTTCAAAAAAAACATTTACAGTGACTCTTCGACATCTGAATCAGAAGTTTCCTCAGTGAGCCCTATGAAAAATAAACATCCAGATGAAGATACCGTGGAAGCCGAGGAGCGTGAGGTAAAAAGACTCAGGTTTGACAAAGAAGGTGAAGTCAGAGAAACAGCCAGTCAAACGACTTCCAGTGAAACTTCGTCAGTTGTGGTAGAAGAAACAGGAGCATCGTCTTCATCTCAGGATAAAGACAAAGAAAGTCATTGTACCCGGCAGCACTGTACAGAAGAGGATGAAGAAGAGGATGAAGAGGAGGAAGAAGGTATTTAGAGACCATCTGTAAAAGGGTGGAGTAAGGAGATCCTCAAATTCTTGTACTTCATTTTTTTTCGTGAAAGAATTTTACATAACGGAACTCCTTATAATGCTGATGTTGGGCTTTTCTCCCTCCTGTATGTAGTTGCTGCTGAATTTCAGGGGATATGATTTGAACTATAGAATATCAGAATTCATGAAACTTAACTGTGGAGGTATTTTGAAAATAAAATTTAACTACAACAACATTTGCTTATTTTTAGAGTCTTTTATGACATCAAGAGAAATGATCCCAGAAAGAAAAAATCAAGAAAAAGAATCTGATGATGCCTTAACTGTGAGTGAAGAGACTTCTGAGGAAAATAATCAGATGGAGAAATCTGAAGTGTCTCAAGCTGAGAAAGATTTACTGCATTCTGGAGTTAGTGAAAACGAAGGCCCTGTAAGTAGTGGTTCTTCTGACTGCCTTGAAACAGAAGAATTAGTAGGATCCAATTCCAGTAAAACTGGAGAGATTCTTTCAGAATCATCCATGGGAAATTACGATGAAGCCACAGAAGTCACCGATGAACCAATGGAACAAGACTAACTATTTAGAAACATTTAGATGCAGTATTTTACATACAGTTCTGGTTTTAACACTGTATAAAACTTTTATGTAATAAAGTGGACCTTTAGTTTTACAGGAGAAGCAGGTTGTAAAATAAAGTACTTTATGGATAATTCCTGAAAGAGTTGTATATGTAAGAACTGTGAATATCAGCTCCTCTGGGTCCTGCTTACCTTACCGCTGACTTTTTTTTTTTTTTCTCTTTATCTTTCTTTGGTCTGGGCAAATCAGTGGTTTGTGTATAGATTTTTTTTTTTTAATTTGGAATTAAAGTTTTTAAACTGGAAGGTAATTTTGAAAAGTTTTTTGAGATTATCACATTTAGTTTATGCATATGCAAGAAGCTTCTTGTCTCTCTGATAGCTCTGGCAGTTTTCATATTTTGGTCATAGTTTCAACATATTAACATGTGAATTATAGGGTTTCAACCTGGTTTCCAGATTTTATTATTTGGCTATGTACAATGGAACTTTAAGTCATATATACATAAATATATATATATATATATTATTCTAAGGGGGGAAATGTTATATTTTTCTGTTTCTATAAGAGATGAATACAGTGGATACTTTTTCTATTGGTAATGATTGAGTTCACCTCTTTCAGAAGACATTTTCTTTCTCTTCTGAGTAATTGAAATAAAATCTGGCCCTTGTGAAACCCTGGAAATCTTGAGTCTGTTGAAATACCAGGCTAAACACATTCCAAGAGATCTGTTCAAACTCAAATTGTTTTGTATACTTGTGAGGTGCCTGAGAAAAAGACTTCACTATTTATGAGAAAATATGCTTTATCTTGGAAATTGTGTTCAAATGTTAGCTTACTCTTTTGTAGAATGAATGCTTATGAAGCTGATATGAGACCATCTCAGAATAACCAAGCAGGTTCCTTGACCTTTTGCTTGCTTTTCAGAACATTGTGAATATTACACGTCTTTCTAAATTATTCTAGAGTATGCAAATGTCAATGGTATGAAACACCACTGTACTGGAAGAATTAATATATTACTTTAGTTATGTACCTGAGCTGAATGACTGAAGCTTTAGGGGTGCATAGAAACCACCATAATTTGTATGACATTTTGAAGTGAATTAAATATTTTTGAACATGCTTCTTCGACAGCCAGTGTTATATTTTTCAGACCAACACAAAGCACAATGATTACTCTAAATTCAATATTTTCAAATTTACATATTTAAAGTCATGCAAGCTGCAACCTCCCTGTCAAAATTACTGGCTGCCAAATTTATACCTGTTTCTTCAGCTGTACCTTTTGATATTTAGAGTTTTTAAATTTCTGTAAAGTAGATTTTGTAGAATGTAATGTGTTCACTGCCTTTGTGAAGCGGTATATAATTGTATAATTTCTGTGTGTAAACTGAATGCTTGGGCTTTCAATACAGTATTCATATAAAGCAATAAATATTAATGTTATGAAATATTTGAGTACATTTTTATCAAAATATGAAAGAATCCCCCTTTTTTTAAGTTTCAGATACGTGAACTACACAGATGAGCTTCTAAAAGTGATGCCAACAATTTCTGACACTGTATTATATGCTTTTGGGTGATTTGGGGGGCAACCACGAGTTTTGCGTTTTGACTACTTAAATTGTCATGACTATAAATACAAAAACGATTTGGATCTATTTATGTTTGTAGGATAATATACTACTGACTGACTTGACTGTCAGATTCACAGCAGCTAGATGATATATTTATGACTATGTCTAATAGTTCGAATAAAATCTTAATATGGATTAACTGTACCCAAGAGGGAGAAAAAATTAAACATTGTAAATTTTAAAAGATTTTCAAAAATGTTAAAATGAAACAAATTTAAGTTTAGAAATTTTGAAAGTTTCTTTAGAATATTTATGAAATTGTCAGTAAACCTACCTAAGATCCTGTGACCTTTGATATTTTTTAATTGTAGTGCCATGGACCATTTGTAAACGAATTGATGTACTTTTGTTGGTTATAAGTTGAAGATTTAGCATTATGACTTTGAGGTCTGTGGTTTTATTTGTAAACTTGCAATTGCTATATTTGCAAGAGCAAATGTATTTCTTTATTAAATAAAGTACAATAATGGTGAATGTACCAAAGTGACATCACTTAACTCTATGAGAGATCTGCATTTTAATCTATAGTTTAATAATTTTAATATTTATTAGATACTCATATGTTGATCATAGATCAAACTTGTTGCTGTTTATACAGATAATTGTAGAATGCTCATGGAATATCTTCTTTAGGGTAGGTGGAATACTTCTGTAGTTAAATTGGGAAACCTTGTTAAGCTGGTTTTAGATACTGATGGCCATTTGGAAGTAAATTTCCGCAAGTATGCATAGGTGCACTTAACACAGACTTTGCTTAATGAAAACGTCAGTTCTAATAGTAACTGATTCATTCATGAATTTTTAAAAGGCTGATTTTAGGCATATTTCTTAATATACATCAAGCAAAGTCCTGTTAAAAGATCTGAGTGAAGAATCAAGACCTCAGTGATTAGTTTTGTTTTTGACCTTGAGCAGATTGCTTACCTGTTCTCTAGACTATAACCCAACATGTAAAAAGAATTTCAAGATGCTGATGAGGAAAGTGAGAAAAAATATATATATATGTGTGTGTATATATATATATGTGTATTATGTTTTTAGCACTTTTCCCTTTTAAAAAGTGAAATCCTTGTACATTTTTGAAAAAATATATATTTTCAGTTCTGAAAAATGTAGAAGTAGTGAAAATGTCATATTTTAAATGTTGATTATTAGGTAAATTTAATCTGCTTAGGGTTTATTGTAACTACACCTTTCAGAAATATGTTTTGAAGCAGTGGAATTAGCCAGTCAGGCCCTGTGGCTTGGAAAGGCATCCCAGAAATCCTCAGTCAGGAAGTGTGGCCTGTTAAAGCATTGAGAC